TGGCAGTGTGGGCAGGTACCAAGTCCTGCTGGAAAATGAAGTCAGCATCCCCATAAAGCTCATCTGTGGAAGGAAGCATGAAGTGCTCCAAAATCTCCTGGTAGATGGCTGCGTTGACCCTGGACTTACTGAAGCACAGTGGAACAACACCAGCAGATGACATGGCTCCCCAAATCAACACAGACTGTGGAAACTTCACACTGGACTTCAAGCATCTTGCAGTGTGTGCCTCCGCATTCTTCCTCTAGACTCTGGGTCCTTGGTTTCCAAATGAGATACAAAAGTTGCTCTCATCAGAAAAGAGGACTTTGGACCACTGAGCAACAGACCAGTTTTGTTTTTCTTTAGCCCAGGTAGGATGCTTCTGACGTTTGTTGTTCAGGAGCAGCTTGACAAGAGGAATACGACATTTGAAGCCCGTGTCCAGGATCCGTCTGTGTGTGGTAGCTCTTGATGCACTGACTGCAGCCTCACTCCACTCCTTGTGAAAGTCCCCAACACTTTTGAATGGCCTTTTCCTGACAATCCTCTCTAGGCTGCGGTCATCCCTGCTGCTTGTGCACCTTTTTCTTCCACACTTTTCCCTTCCACATAACTTTTTATTAATGTGCTTTGATACAGCACTTTGGGAACATCCAACTTCTTTTGCAATTACCTTTTGAGGCTTTCCCTCCTTATGGAGGGTGTCAGTGATGGTTTTCTGCACAACTGTCAGGTCAGCAGTCTTTCCCATGATTGTGCTTCCTACTGAACCAGACTGAGAAACCATTTAAAGGCTCAGGAACCCTTTGCAGGTGTTATGGCTTAATTCGCTGATTAGAGTGGGACACTTTGAGCCTAGAATATTGAACCTTTTCACAATATTCTAATTTTCTGAGATTGTGGATCTGGGGTTTTCATGAGCTGTAACCCATAATCATCTCAATTATGACAAATCACGGCTTGAACTATCTTGCTTTGCATGTAATGAGTCTATCTCATATATTAGGTTCATCTTTTAAGTTGCAGTACTGAAATAAATGAACTTTTGCACGATATTCTAATTTTTCGAGTTTCACCTGTATTTCCTGTGGTTTACTAGATCTGTAGCTCTAGCTCTGGAATCTGGAAGGAAATCTTTGCAAAATAGACCACAATTTTAGTTGGTTGGCTCTTTCTATCTATTTTTTAATTAAGAATTTTGATTATAATGGCAAAACATAACACACATTAAACTTAAAGGAAAACAAATAAAGAGCATGCTGACTCTGTGATGATCTAATTAGATCTTCAAGATGTTCTTTCTTCAACTTGGTCCTTTAGGTTTTCAAACTGCTGTAATGAAGACCATTTCTCTTCTTCTCATTATCTTCTTCACTTTCTGTCCATCTATGCAAACCCTTTCTGAAGAGAGCTAATTCTTTGCATGACATGTCTAAAATATGATAATTTCAGCTTGATTTATGCCTCCAATAAGAACTCAACTGATCTGTTTAATGTTCCAGTTTGTTTTCACTGGCTATCTATGTATTCTCAGGAGTCTTCTCCAATACCAAAGTTGAAAAATGTCAATATGTTTTCCATCCTATTTCGTCAAAGTCCATCTTTCATTTTCATAGAATGTCACAGGAGAAGCCATTCTCTGCATGGTTCTGATCTTTGTAGGCAAAGAGACATCATAGCATCTGAATATCTTCTCCAAAGTCCTTCATTGGTACCCTACAGTGGTGGGATACAATTTTTTTTACTACCGGTTCTGTGGGCGTGGCTTGGTGGGCGTGGCAGGGGAAGGATACTGCAAAATCCCCACTCCCTCCCCACCCCACTAACCTGCTTTCCAGCTCCGTTCTCCTGTGCAGGGCAAGCAAAGAAGACCCAGCCGATCAGCTGGGACTCAATGGGAGGCAGAGAATAGATGGGGGGGGGCAGGGCCAGTTGGTTCTCTGAACTACTCAAAATTTCCGCTACCGGTTCTCCAGAACTGGTCAGAACCTGCTGAATAGCACCTCTGGTACCCTACTAAGAACTAGTATATTTCTTTTGACTCATGGTTCCTTTGCTATTGATAGTTGATTCCAAAAAATGAAGCTATCCACCTCTTCTAAAATAGATTGCCTGAGGAAGTACAGGTGTGTGTGTGTGTGTGTGTGTGTGTGTGTGTGTGTGTTGGCAGGGAAATATGGCAACTTGTGGAACAATGTACAGTGAAAAAGGAAAAGGAATGAAGTGGAAAGGGAGAAGAATTAAGAGAAGCTTCAGTGTCACCTTGGAGCAGGAGTGTCCAATCTTAGCAACTTTAGGACCTGTGGATTTCCATACCCAGAATTCCCCAGCCAGCCATGCAAAGCCATGCATGTCAAGGCAACATGCCAAAGCTAGATTTCCAATCTCAGGGACAATGTTTTCACAATATTTTTCTTTCTCAAAGAAGTGTTTGAAGATGAAAGATGTAGCTCTATGTGGTTAATGAAGTTCCAGATTGAAATTTTGAACAATTTGGTTTGTGAAGTTAAATGTTTAATATGAAGGGTGGATACGTTGTCTCCTCCTCCTCCTCTTTCCCCTCCTCCTCCTCCTTCCCCTCCTCCTTCCCCTCCTCCTTTTCCTCCTCCTTCTCTTTCCCCTTCTCCTTCCCCTCTTCCCCCCTTCCTCTTCACTCCTCTCCTTCTTTCTCTCCTCCTCCTTCCTCTTCCTCTTCCCTTCCTCCTCCTCCTTCCTCTTCCCCTCCTCCTTCTCTTTTCCTTTCTCCTTCCCATCTTCCTACTCCTTCCTCTTCCTCTTCTCCCTCCTCCTCCTCTTTTTCCTCCTCCCCCTCCTCCTCCTCCCTCTTCCACTTCCCCTCCTCCTTCCTCTTCCTCTTCCTCTTCCTCTTCCCCTCCTCCTCCTTTTCCTTCCCTTCTTCCTTCTCTTTTCCCTCCTTCTTCCCATCTTCCTCCTCCTTTCTTTTCCTCTTCCCCGCCTCCTCCTTCTACTCTTTTTCCTCCTCCCTCTTCCCCTCCTCCCTCTTCCCCTCCTCCCTCTCCTCTTCCTCCTTCCTCTTCCTCTTTTCCTCCCCCTCCTTCCTCTTCTCCTCCTTCCCCTTCCCCTTCTCTTTTCCCCTTCTCCTTCCCCTCTTCCTCCTCCTTCCTCTTCTTCTTCCCATTCCTCCTCTTCCTCCTTCTCCTTTTACTCTTTTTCCTCAACCCTCTCCTCCTCCTCCTCCCTCTTCTCCATCTCCTCCTTCCTCTTCCTCTTCCCTCCCCCTCCTCCTGCCCTTCCCCTTCCCATTTTTCTCCTTGTCCTTCTCTTTCTCCTTCCCCTTCCCCTTTTTTCTTATGCATTCAGCGATCATCTGCAGCCATTCCAGCCTTGTGCAGAAAAAAAAACATTCTTCACTCAGAGTAGGTGTGAAATATGGCTGTCACTCAGCAGTCGGGAATCAAAGGAGGACCTAATTCGCTGGGTGGAAAGAGTTAAATGAACTTTAACAAAAAGGCTCTGCCTCTACCTCTCTGGGTAGAAAATAGCCAAGGGCAACAGTGGATGACTAATGTGTAGAATATTGCAATTAGTATAGCAAGGTACTTACAGGGATCAAATTAAAAAATTCATTAACGTACGCACTTAATTAAGAAACACTTTTCGGTTTACATGATAAATTATGACACCTATTAAATCTTCCAGTACAAGCTGTAATGGCTTCTTTGCTCCCGGGCAGAGGAACTATTGCCTTTGAGGTCCTTTCAACCTCCCCAAGGAGCAGCAGCCTGAGATACAAAGTGTATTAAAAAACAATGCTTCCTTCCTCTCCCTGGAGACGTACAACCTCTCTCTCTCTTTTTTTTTTAATTCCTCTGAAACTCATTTCAAGTTTTACAAATCCGCCCTGAGATGAAGAGAGAGAGAGAGAGAGAGAGATCAGAAAAACAACCGAGGAGCGGAATAACTTCGTTCTCCCAATCAAGTGACCTTGGGAAGAAGCGGGGAGAAAAACTCTGAAGATTCAAGGCTGCCTTGGGGAAGAGAGGAAAAGGGAACGAAAGGCGGGAATGACGCTGCTATTGATTTACAAATCTCCAATGCCACCCTCAGAAAGATGGCCGGATCTTAGGGAAGGGAGTGGAAGTCACGTCTGTTGTGAAAATTAGAGACCGTTTCTGTAGCTTGGTCTCTCTTGAAGCCGGTATCAGGGATGTCCCAAAGGTGGTGTCATGCCCCTGTTGGAGTCTGACTCTGAGGGAGAGATGGAACAGCTGATAGGGAGTGGGAGTGTGGCTCCAATGGTTGTGGAAGAAACTGGGGAAGGGCACAGTCAGGAAGAGCATTCAGAGGAAGACCCAGGCCCATCACTTCTTCATCCTAGGGCACGCAGGGAGGAGCGGATAAGGGAGAAACATGAGTGGTGTGGTCTATGGGGGAGGAAGGGGTCCTGATACCCTTCATGGGCTGCAGCTGGGAGGACTGTTCTTGTCGGAGCTTATCTGTGTTTTGACTTCCTCCCAACTGTGGTTGCTGCGTTATCTGATAGAAGCCTGCAATTAATCATCCTTGCCTGCCGTAGTAATTCCTTCAGTGTGGTTTGTGTTGGTTTTTTTTAATTTCGAATTAACTTTACTTTGGGTGCGGACTGCGTTTACTTCCTTCGTAAACTGTTTTCTTTAAGAATTTGATATCTAGCCGAGGATAATTGGACATTGGGACCAAGTTGGAGGCATTAAAAGGACTTTCTTCTATTTTTGTGACTTGGTTATTTTTGTGTCACACCCTGGGTCATCACAAGTGGTTTTTCAGGAGGCAACTGGACTTTCTTCATTTTTTTTTTCATTTGAAGCCGTTTCGCTTCTCATCCAAGGAGCTTCTTCAGCTCTGTCAGGATGATGGGGAATGGAAGGATTTATGCTCCTTGCAGACAGCTGATCATTTGCATTCTTTTAGAGAGTCATTGAGGTCACTTGGAGGCTTATCTGTGTCCTCAGGGTCACCTAAGTAGTGTTCCTGGTTCCTGTAGTCTGCAATTTTTTATCTCTGGAAATCCATTCCTACTCCCACACCATTCAAAGGATGTTCATCCCAACTTGAATAGCTAAAAGTCTGTAGAGATGATCAATTGTCCAGATCATGGTTGTGCCAAAGGTACTTTTTCAAGAGGCAACTGAACTTTCTGGTTTTTCTTTGAAGACGTTTCACTTCTCATCCAAGAAGCTTCTTCAGCTCTGACTGGATGGTGGGGAATGGAAGGATTTATATTCCTTTCAGACAGCTAGTCATCTGCATCCTTTTAGAGGGTTGTTGAGGCCACTTGGAGATTTATCTGTGTCCTCATGGTCACCCGAGTAGTGCAAATGGTTCCGGTAGTCTGCATTTCCCCCCCCTCCGGGAATCCATTCCTACTCCTGCACTATTCAGGGGGTCTTCATCCCAAATTATATAGCTCAAAGTCTATAGAGAGTCTCTGTCATCCAGGTCATGGTTGTCCCAAAGGTGCTTTTTTCAGGAGGCAACTGGACTTTCTTGTTTTTTTTCTTTTGAAGATGTTTTGCTTCTCATCCAAGATCAGGGATCATTCAAATAGCACTAGCGTTTTCATCAAGGCTTCCTGAGACAAGCTACAAACACATATAAAATCCAAAGTCTTTTTATTTTACTTCAATGGCTGTGAATTGTCATCATTCACAACCCAGAATGAGTCTTAACCGGTTATAATTGGTCCCAAGGATGGTTGCCAAAATTCTTTGGGAGATGTCTGATAAGAATGCACCTTTATCTGACTTGAAGTGCTGCCAATGACTAAAGTCCCAATTAGTCTTTCAAAACCAAACGGAGAACAAATTCACCATGGAGCTTTCAGATTCCAAACTGATCAGAATGAACGACGTTGCTTCCTGCAAAGGTTTCTCTACCTTTGCACTTCCTTTATACCTTATGGGAGGGCCAATCACCTCCAAGCCTTACTCCCAAGTTGCCCCTTTTGTCTTAGCTGCTCTTGCCTTCTGGCAGCTCTGCACACACGCGCACTGGGAACAGGCTCCCCTTGTTCCTTTGCCTCACTGCTTCCAGATTCCGAAGACTCCGGAGTCAGCACATGACTCCCAGATGGTCCTGGCCCCATCTCTGTATCGGATGCAGGACCCTTGTCCAAGTCTTCCCCAGGCTGGTCCCTGTTCTTCCCCACTGTCCAATTCTGTTGCCGTCTCTGCAGGCTTCCGGTGAACCTCAACAACTAGATCCTCTTGGAATTGGGGGAAGATCCACATCCATGAAATCAATGTTTTGACCCTTTATATATATAAAGAGGGGGGGGGGTCCATCTCATGTTGTGGCTGCCATCTTGATTCTTTTGAACACCCCCCCCCCCCCCCACCCCTATGAAACACAGTATGTGAAGGTCTATAAAGACAGGATAAAACCTTATTGCTTTCCTGGTGTGGGAAACCCCCCTGCTCTTAGAGAATGAAATATTTTGGGGAATATCAAAAGAGGCAGAATATTATATTTCCCCAAAGGAGAAATGGAGAAAAATCTTAATGAAGGAAGAAAGCAGCCCCAGTCTTCCTCCCATGCCCTCAAGCAGAAGCCTCCAGTCTTTAGAGATGAATATTTTGTAGCTATTAAGAAAGACTGGGCCAATCCTTTCATAAACAAAACGCCTTCAGCCACAAGCTTCCACAGAAGGCTGGAGCTGATGGGATTAAGAATTTACATTCCCCCCACCTAAATTCTAAGGATAGGACATGACCTTTAGGACAGAATAGTATTAACCCACCAGCATTAGAAGAGGAAAAGACACAAGGCTCACTACATTGTACAACCCCCCTGGAGCATCTCAATCACCATACCCCAGAACTCTATAAAAACCCCAGCTATTTTGTCAGCCACCCCAGAAATATTGCTGCTGAAGTTTCTGGAAAACCAAATAAATAGACACCTTCTTTCCTTGCAGCCACCCTCGATCCCCCCCCCCCCAGTTTTTCCCCCTCCTCCTGTCTTGGAACTAGCCTGGATTTTTCTTCTGACACTGGTTACATAGGTTACATAGATTTCATTTTAATTAACTTAATCCAGGCAATGCCACAGGGGCATCAATGGAGTGGGTAAATTCCCTTCTCACCTTGTAGGTGGCATGTATCTTTCTTAATCTCATGTCCTCTACTAAAGGCCTGGGAATTTGAGTGGGTCTGCACAAGATCTTAGTTGTTCCTAGCCCTGCAATCTTGTGGATGGAGAGCTCTGATGTTCTTCCTGGCATCTGATGGAGCTATTCTCCCAGCTTAGGTGTCCCAACCCTGAGTGTTCCTACCACCATTGGCCTTGCTGACATCCTTTCTAGTTCCTCTTTCAAGCCCTGGTACCTCTCCAGCTTCTCACACTGCTTCTTCCTGGTGTTGCTATCACTTGGCACCACTACATCTATCATCACCGTTGTCTTCTGGCCCTTGTCAAATACCATGATGTCTGCATCAGGGTTCCAAGTAATACATCTATAGCAAAGAGAACTCTGAGGCAGGCAAATTCCTCGAAGTACAATTTATTAGGACAGATCATATTGGTACAAGCTGGTAAAAACCAACTCTGAATATTCCCACGGTTTTCACCTAATTAAAAGTGAAAGTTTGTCCCTTTCTCAAAACATCCAGTCACATGGTCCAATCAGGATATTGTCCAGTTGCTAGGTGACTTCAGTCCCCTCCTTCCGAGCACTTGTAGGAATGTCCTTGGCTCCCATGAGAAAGAATGTTGTTTTGGCTATAACACCCCGACTATCTCTACTGCCCCATCCCTATCCCTCTTCTCTGGTGTGTCAGCAGTAAAGTCTCAAAATAGCCTCAGTCAGGCCAGCTTCCCATGTGATTGTAGAATACCAAAGTACTTGTAACTGGTTGGTATGTCAGTTAATGGCCCACATCAGTGTCAACTATTTTCCCTCCCTTGTCCACCATCTGGCCATACTTCTCTAGTCTGAATGATATCACCGTAGATCACTGTCAAGTGGCTCAGCGAGTCAATGTTTCATTCATTTTTAGCCTACAACAAGATGTCATCCACGTACAGGAAGTGGCTGATGATAGTTCCACCCTGGAACTTGTATCCATATCCAGTCTCGTTCTGGTCTGCGTGTCACATCCATAGTCTTGAACATCCTCAACCAAATAGAGATAGACACAGACATACTGTGTCTACCTTGTTACTCAACTACTTCGAAACTCATCAGATTTGGTACTCAATGCATTTTGATGCAAAAATTTTGTCCTGGTACTCATCATTTGTTTGGTACTCAATGCCACAAGCTAGAACATGTCAGTGTCGGCTGTCTCGTGACTCACGACATTATTCTTTATGGGGAAAAAATTGTTTGATAATCACTGTTTTTGGTCTCCTGAAACCGAGGTGCCACTGTAGATTGTCCAGTTGGGTGCCCATCAGTGGTGGTATGCTGTGGTTCGCACTGGTTCTAGCGATCCGGTAGCACTGTTCAGCAGTTGGCCCTGCCCACCTGCACCCGCCCTTTCCTGTCCTATATTTCCTTTGTTTGTAGCTCAGCAGATTTATATATGGCAGAGCAGATTGCCACGCCTCAGCTCTTTTACTCACCAGCACTGACAGTAAGTTTTCAAGCATAAAATTGCTCATTTTAGAATGTGAAGCATGTGCCCACAGAAACCGGTAGTAAAAAAGTTTGTATCCCATCACTGGTGCACACCCCAGAGCCACTAAATCAATATTGTTGTTTTACCAGACTGTCACAAAAAGTATATTCCATAAATGATTGTGGAGCAATCTTATTAATCAGAGGTAATTTAATTACATTTAAACATAAACAAAATTCAATTGTCCAATGTTACTGTTGCCCTGATGCCACCCATAATTTTTATGAGCAAAATCCCTGGCCTGGGAAATATCTGCTCGCACTCCATGAGATATAATTATATAATATTCAAATTGTATCAGCTTAATTTTGTATTACCTTAATTAATGTCCTAAGTAGTTTGCTTAGAGTAAGATCCAATTCTTCCTGCATTAGCCTAGCTGTCCACAAGGGGTTCTATTTTATAATGTTACCATCCATACAGACCCCAAGAGGTCTTCTCAATGATAAGATGACAGGATGAAAGCTTTGTCCCAGGAATCCTTCATCTCCATTACTATCTTATTGTCCCTGAAGGACCAAAGAGATCTGAGGTCAAAAGCTCAAAATATCGAGATCTGTCTGTCACCACTCTCCTTGCCTAACTGCCTATCCCTACCAGTCTCTCTTTTTTTTCTGTCATTCTTTTCTCTATCTCTCTATTTCTGTTTTCTCTCTCTCTTTTCTCTATCATCTCTGCCTGCCTATCTATCACTATCTATCTATCATCTTCCCCCTCTATCCATCTATCTGTCTGCCTGCCTTTCTGTCATATATCTCTGTCTGTCTGTCTG